GTCATTAGTACCTCTAGTAATATATTTACTGAGAAAAATGGTGACGTGTTCAATACTTATTTTACCCACTGTATGTAAACTCAGATTACATGCACTAAATCTTATACCAATAAGGCCCGCACATATTTGGGCATACTTCACTCTACAGAGGTCTGTGCCGACTCAAGCTGGACTCAACATGGACGTCTGCTGGACCAACCCATTCTCACCGCCAAGTCGTCACATATTGATACTTTTCCAAAGTTCCCTCTACGTCGGTTACTGCCCTTGCGTCATTTGTTATCGAGATGGGGCGGAATCTGTTGTCATAATTTATGAAAGTTTAGAAAATGCACAAAAACTACGTGTTCCAAAGCGTAAAATTACCTTTATTCACTTTAGACATCCTGTCCCTGACCCTAATACCTAAACTTAACCATTAATCCTCATCCCTCATGTTAACCTCAGCCCCTCGACACAAAGACCCCTGGTGGCGCAACCCGGAAAAGCAGCGGGCGGCAAGGACTGACGCGAGGGGGGTCACCCGACACGTCAAAATAAGACGCAGAGGGAACTTTGGAAAAGCGTCAATATGTTGACGAGTCGGGAGTGAGAATGTGTTAACTGGACAGGTCCGCACAGAGATCAATATTTTACATCTACGGTCTCACGCAATAAACTTCCTGGCGAGTTCACATCGAACTGTTTTGGATATGACACCAAGCAGATAAAGTTGAGAATTAGCATCATTTGTGAATGAATTTCAAAWTTTTAAGWGCATCTCATGGAGGAGATTAGAAAATATTGAAACTTTACGCTACATCAATCCACTGAAAATTTGCGTTGAGTCCGCAGGGATCACAGACTATACACAGTACGCTCGAGTATGTGGGAGCCTTTCCCGTTTAAATGCGGCCGTATTTGTAACGAATATGCATTTGTGGGATGAGCAGATGAGATGAGTATGTAGGTTGCACAAATTAAGAAATTGCCAAATCTTTTTTTGTCAAACAGCTTATTTTACGTTGTTGCTAAATTTTGTTTTGAGCTTCTGATACCCCCGTGATACCCGCTTTGTGCATCAGGGAGGAGTCATGTTTAACTGACACATTGTGCTTCATTGATCACATCTCAGTTTCTTCAACAAATGTCAGCATTCATCCAGCACTCACACCCAGTTTTCACAGAAAATGCAGTTTCTCTAATTATTTCATGGGAATAAATTTAGCAGAGGGGTGATGTGAAAAGTCCATTTTGTTTAATGGTTGGTTAATTAGTTTCTTTAGAAAGTTTTGGGTGGATTCACAGCTCACTTTAGAGATTAAACRAATCCAATCTAATCCAGGATCTTTTTTATTCTTGTAGCTTATCTTAATGTTGTGCTTTCTAGTCCTAAGCAGTGATTTTGTTCATGTGGGTCATCCTGTAAATGTCAGACTGTTTCACTTGTTATAGAAACCAGGAAGCTGCCATGACCAGGTTTTCACCCCCACTTCATGCTAACTACCCTTCACTTCATATTAGCATAGATTAGGACACAGAAGAATCCACAGGCTTTTAAAAAAGGTAATTAGCCCATGATATTTGAAAAACCAACACAAAGCTGTTTTGAGGAGGTCTCCAGGAATGAACCAACCTGTTTGGAAGAGAAAAAAATCAATTCAATGGAAGACTAGATGGATTTTCAATCGTTTCCTGGGATTAATATCCAAGATGTCTGTGAGGCTTATTGWGTCATGTGATTAAAAAGAGATGAGTGTTGAGCATAGCCGTTGAGATGACATCTACTGACTGAAGAACTRATGTTAGAAAGCCTGACTGACTTTCAGTTTGCAGCTGCTGTTTGGAGACAAACTGTCTGAACAAGAGCTGAGCTCASGCTGAATCTTTTCTATTTCTTGCATCTTATGTGTTTAAATCAATGTATATTTTTTATGAGAGGATTGTGACACAATTAACAAATATAATAATTTACTAAATCAGTTTTTTTCCTCTGTCTTGATTTCTGGGCTATTTTTGAATTTGACAGAATGAGCAGAAATGAGTTTCAGTTKATTTATTTATGTATTTATTTTTAAACTGTTTTTGTTAGGTGACAGAATATAACAGAAAATAGAATTATTAAGTTCTTTCTTTTAAACCAGCCATTTTAAATAGTTTTAACCATCTTCTCTGTTCTACCCCTTCATGTCTTACTAACTACCTTCCTTTGTTTCTAAATCTACACATCAGATGTCATTGTGTGAATGCCTCCAGCATTCACTCTATTGTTTTTGCGTTTCTCTTTATTCTTTATTATTCTAGTTTCTTCCGTAAGTTTTTTGGACCGCTTCTCCTTTCACAATTTTTGTGCTACTTAAACCATTCGTATATCAAAATGTTCAGCTCATTCAGGACATTCCGACTATGACTTTTGGTGTCTTAAACTTTTATAGTTTTTTAGCGATTTCAATTTTAAGCCGTTTTTTCCCATTGACTTTGAATGGGTACGTTTTTTGGACCGCTTCTCCTTTCACAATTTTTGTGCTACTTAAACCATTCGTATATCAAAATGTTCAGCTC